CCCCCCCCCCCGCCTCCAGGAGGAGACTTAGCTGCTGTTTGCCCAGAGTGCTGCTCACACCGGAGCCCCTTGGCCCCAGGGAGCTCCTGCAGCACGGGACCTCCCCTCCTCTCCTTTCCAGGGCCCCCTTTTCCTTACACAAAGGAGGAAGCCCTTGCAAGAAGTCAGGGTGCAGACCTGGCGTGCCACGAGGGTGCTGCCTCTGTTCTTATGCCTGAATTAAGGGAAAACACACAAGTATGCAAAAGCGTGGAAATAAAGCCACTATGCGTTCAGAAAGATTTATTTTCATCAACAATTAAAAAAAAAAGAAAAAGAAAGCTACAAGTGACCTTAGTGACCTTTTGGCATGCATAAAGCAAACGCCTGAAAGCTGGTACTAGTCAAAATTTCAAGGGGTTTCAGGTCCTAGGAATCTTCGTACTTGTGTTGAATATATATATAATTGTATACACACAGCACCTTGCAGCTTTCTGACCTCGCTTCTTACAGCACTTCCTCCTTCTAAACATTTGGAGGGCACTAGAACAGCCATGCCTAAAGTTACAGTCACTGTCAGGAGCAAGCTGGGGCCACTTACCAGCTTGAAGACAGGTTCCCAGGAGCTTTTTACCTCAACGTTTTTTTTTTTTTTTCCCCCCCCCTCCTGAGCCTGCAGAGGAGTTTGTTCACATGTTCCCTGTTACACAGCTCCCTAAATCACCACTAACATGGACAGAACAGTCTCCAGCTGCCACTCCTAACAAATTTCATTGGACTTAGCAACAGCAGTCTTACAAGTTCAGAAACAGCAGCAAGGGAGATCCAAAGAAGATGGAAAGAGACATTAAACATTGTGTTAAGTAGTGGTAATTGTGAAATTTAATTTTTTATTTACTTTTTTTTAAAGTCATAGAGTAGGGTAGAACATAAATATATTTGAGACAAAGTGCTGGATGTAAATAGTCAACCACAGAAGTAGAGTTAAGTAAACAAGATAAAAAACTGGCTTAAATTAATACATTTTATACAAGAAAGCAATTGGTACAAAGGCTAAATTTGAACCATGATTTTCAAGGTCAGGCACCTACCTCCTTATTCCCTCAAAAACCCACCCCTCAGTATTTAGTTTGGTGTGGTGTTACTCCTGGACAACAGTAGCCTCCAAATGCACCTAAGCTCTCCCGATCTCTCACATGAAATAGCGGAAATGGTAAGAAATGCTGAAAATGCACAGTTGAGGTATTCCATCAAGTCCTCACTGCTGTGTAAGAAACAGGTCAATTAATTATCATTCAACCTGACTTTAACTTTGAGCCCTTAAATCACTAACTGAGAACATGCAATTCAAGGTTTCAGTAACAGATATTTTTTTTCTAAAATATAAACAATTTAACTCTAATATTAAAGTACATTGTATTAGAAAGTTCATTCAATATATGTAATTTCAGTTACATTCCTATGGCTTTTGAGCAAAAAAAAAAAAAAAAAGCAAGCAGTTTTACTGTATGTACATACTATTCAACATCAAGATTTAAATTATTTATTAATAGCCTACATCCACTGTGCATTTCTAAGATTTACATCCAAAAGGTGTATTTTATTTACATACTGTAGACATTTTAAAGAAAGTGAAATAAAATTCTGTTTAGGAAATATGATCTACCCCAATTAAACACAAAACAAAAGCAACATTTAAACACTTACCACCCTTTTAAACATTTACAATAAAAACCAACTTCCTGTGCCAATTATACTTTCTCTCTCCTTAAGAAGGTAAAATTGCATTGATAACTGCACTAACTACAATTAGACTTGAAACATTTAAAACCTGAGAGTCAAATCTAAACTTTTTTTTCTTTTAAGAAAATCCTACAAACCTTAGGCCTTAATGTTACTGTAAGCACAGATTGGTCAGTGGTTAATAAAACAGTGCATTATTTCTGCAGCTTCAAACAGGTGAACAGGTCACTATGAGGACAGATGTTGCAGCAGTTTGATAAATGTCGGGCCTGCATTTAGCTGCAGTAAGGCTTATTTCAACACCTCCCTGCCTGCACACCACACCCAGCTGAAAAAAGAGCATCTTTGGCCAATTCCTGTGGGGATTCCTGCCTTCCTGTAAGCATGAATTGCCTCAAGTATGCATCTGTTGAGGTTTCCCACCTCAAAAATAGACACACAAGAATTTTGATATCTAGATGGATAACTTTGATATCTAGAGTAGAAAAAAAAAACAAAGGGAAGAGGCATAGAAAGTTAGAAATACTGGCCAGAAAAAAAAACCCAAATCTAAAAAGCTTTATATAAACCGCCAGAGGGTTTTTAAAGTTAGCTTAGCTCTGCAGCAGCATTCACTGTAGTACTGAATACCTTGGTATTCTTGAAAGAAAACATTGTTGCTTCAACAGCACCTCACAGTACTGTGCAATCTAAAAAGTAGCTATACCCATAAAGCTTAGGAAAGAAGTGTCACGCGCAAAGCAACTTCAGTTTTTACAGTAGCTGCAAGCTATTCGACTCCCTGGAAAGCATTATGCCCCTTTTTGAGTGAAAACGTCTTCCTCACGGCATCCTTCAGCAACTGTGCCACAGTTCTGCCTACATCAAAAGGCTCTACTGCACCTGTGGCTTTGAGATGGCGGCGATTCCCTGCTCTGGGGCTGCCTCGCATCGTTGTCACGGTTAGCCTTTCTCATGTAAAAGCTTGACAATGTGCTAGTGGTCCCTCCAGGCTGCAAGCAGGCGAGTTTTGATTGTGCAGTGTCTGCAGGCTATCCAGCAGCTTTGAATTTAATTTTATTTACATTCCTGGGACCCAGAAACTGTGCGTAACATGGAGCTCTTATCTCAGATGACAGCTGACACCACAGGGCAAAAACAAGCACTTGAATGTCTGTGGCTCTGAAACAAAGTTACTGCTGCTTTGCATAGGAACCCATCTCCTGGCATGTGAGATAAGAGTGTTTCATTACAGCTTTAGACCTAAATGCACCCTTCAGAAGCATAGTCTGCTTGTGCCGCACTCACCAAAATTACAATTTGAAAACTAAATCTACAGCACTACGTCCACTTGTCCATCACTAAAATAATGCTAAACCAACCCCCAGTGTTAACCTTTTCCCTTGTTTAGGATCTTTGTTTTCTAAAGCATGAACAAGCATGTAGGTCCACTTATACAGAAATAAATTAAAAATGTGGCAAATATGCTTGTAAGAAATTATAAAAAATGATACCTGCTAACTTAGGTGACACACTCTACTACCTACTGTAGCAAATACTTCTCCACAAAAAAAAAATCCAGTAGTTGGTGTTACACTGGCTCATATGAGGGTTTTTCTGCATGTTAAGTTACCTTTCCAAAAATGGTCAAATTAAGGTAAACAATTCTGTCACTCATTGACATAAAGCAGCAGAGAGATTAATGAACATTCTGTAACTAATTCATATCAAATAAAACCTTTTCTAGGATTAATAGGTTAAGCCTTGATGTGTTTTATCCCTTCATTTGTGGAATAAAAGTACACTCCAATTTATGAAGAAAACAGAACAAGTGTATGCAACCTAGGAAAATACTGCAGTAGTTGGAATATACATGCCTTCATGCAATGGTGCTATCCTTTGACCCTGGGAATATACAAAACACCAAAAGTGGTCCTCTGTGGAAAGTATCCTTTGACCCTGGGAATATACAAAAGTCGTCCTCTGTGGAAACAAACTCTTCCAAACTATTGGAAAATAATGCAACACAAGCTACTGCTACGGTTTTCATAGATGATTGAGGGGATGGAGACTCAGTTTCTTCTCCAGCTATTTCTTGACAAACCTTGCTCTCATGCACTGATCAGAAAAGTTCTCGTTCCAACAACAGTCTACTTTGCACCAGTAAGGCAGATCACTTGGTACAGTTTTTAATGGGGCCAACTAAAGACATCATGTCAATCAAAGCTTTTCGGATGTTTTTTCCAAAACGATGAGAATCCTAGAAAGCAAAGAAAAAAACCTGTATGAAGACATCACTTATCTTTTAAGCGAAGACACAAACCTTCTAACATTTTGTAATTTGGCCTTAAAAATGTAGAATTTGAAACCACAAACAAATTCTAACAATATAAACAATATAAAATAACCCAGGTTTATGCTACTAATGACAAGTTCTTCATTATGAATCTACTCTCCTACAAAGAGAACTCAGATAATGTCCTATTGAAATCACATTCGTCCATAACTTTTTCTGTTGTTTGTTTTTGGTTTTAGTAACAATAAGAACCCTTGTTTATAAAAGATGATTTCACAAAAGCTGGTTTTCAGAGGGCCACAAGAAGGAGAAAGCACAAGATAGAGCAACTTTTCATTTTTGAGCTTACATCTAAATCTTCTGTGTTTTTGTCAATGAAGAACTGTATGAAGTAGTGAAAATAATCAAGTGACCTGAAGTGTTAGCAAACTATGAGCCTGCTCTATTTCTTGTGTCAGATGAATGGTAGAAGGAAGAAAGTAAGATAAAGTATAAATTGCTAGTGACATTATATAGCCTACTACAGAAAAAGATACCCTGATAAAATCAAGACCAAGCACACAAAGCGGCACCTTCTTTCTGTATGGAACTTTGACCTGACCGAAAGTAGAAAAGTACAGGAATATTCAAAGTACAAACTAAAAGACATCTGAAGAACAATTTAAACTATGCAAGGACAAAGTAGTATTTCCTTATCTTTAATGATTAACCAAAGGCATCAAGATTTCTCAGGCAATTAAAGACTGAAAGAGGCTTGATGAATGTAATGTGGCCAGTGCTCATCAAGCTTAATAAAGTTATAAAATATGAAGAGGAAGGATGAATTGAAGGTCACCTAGTGCAAGCCTCCACAGTAGCAGGATATGCAATAGATAACATCTACTAGAACCTAATACTTGCTTTTTATTCCAATAAAATCTAAACTCTAAGTGTTTCTCAAGCACTGATAATTTCTATCAGTATTATTTAGATCAAGGAGATTTAAAAGACACGGAGCATTATTTTACGCTCTCTCTACAAGAGGACCCAGGGCCAAGTCAAAGCCAAACTGTAGTAAACAAAAATGGGAGGCACCCATCTGACTGTTTACAGAACAGATACGCATTACTTTGCTCAAGTTCCAGGAAACTGCACCTCTTTAAAGATAATCTTGAGCCACGTACTTCATTTCACCTGAAACTATAGGTGAAAGAACAATCCAATTTACTTGCTTCATAAAGCGATTAAAGTAATGGAATTTGAGAGAAAAAATATACACAGATGTTACGATAGAAGAAAGAGAGAGCATATGTTTCAAGTCATGCTAAGTCTTTAGACAGTGAGTAAAATGGTCTTTATAAGTAAGGGTAAGAATACAATAATTAAACTAAAAGGTTGTCCCATACCGTTTCAGAACATGAGATTTTGCTGGAGACATGGAAGTGGAAGGAATTTTCACCTAAGAGAATGTAGGAAACACCATAGCCATCATCAGCCACCTGGGAAAAAGAGAAAAGTGATTGCTAAACTCCCCACTCCCTTCCATTTTTAAGTTCATCTGATACATAATTACAGTTATTTTCTACGATTTTTTTTAAAGACAGTTCCAATTTTTTTCTAAGCAAAGATAATCTTCCATATTTTATATGTCATTTCTAGAGTGAGCTGTTTCTTAGGGGAAACAGCTCTGGTCTCATCTGAAGTGTATGGAATTAATAGTGTCAGAGTATGATCTGCAGCACATTTCCTTTCAAAAACCTTTGAAGCTCAATGGTAAGGTATTATGGAACTGAAGCTTTTAGACTACCACATTCAAAACAGACCTGTGTTTAAAATGGATACTTTTATAGTTAGCAAACATACCGGACCAAATCCTCCACCACAAGATAACATCTCAGGGTTCTTCTTTAGATCAATGAGCTGTTGTGGTGTCTGACTCGTTGACAGTCTCCAAGGCTCTGACAAAACCTATAATAGATACGAAAAGGATGTAATTAAATGTAACACTCTTCAACAACTTATTGTCAAGATAATTTAGAAAATATGAACTCTTCAATAGAATGAACAGTTGAGAAGATTATAAAGAAAAGGCAGCAGAACACCAGTCTTTATGTGGAAACTGTTAGTATGCAAGTCCTTGATGTCAATTCAGGGAATGGAAATATTTTCAGCAGAAATCTCCTCTGAAAACAGAAGGATCTACCTGATACAGTCTGCTTAATATTTTGTTTTGTTTTTTAAAAAAATAACCACCACAACCACCATCGGCCACAAGAACTACCATATCTTTATCAGCAATGGCCATATTCAAATTCCAGTAAACTAAATGCAGCAAGTCAGAACTCTGTAGCTAATATCTAATAACAAACAAGTTCTGTGCAAGCCTAAGGAAGCTGTAGAAGGTTTTTTATTCTTCACTTGGCTGCTACTCACATTTAAAGATGACAGAGGCAAATGTGAGTAGCTTGGAGGTATATATATATAATATGGAAATATAGGCAAAGTCATTTTGGCACAATTCCCCCAGAAAAACAACCCTGAGGGAAAGACCAAAACCCTCACTGTACTGTTTTGAAGATATGGTAAAATCCATGAGCATCCAATATTCTTTACCTATTACATTGTTATTTCAATCCTCAGTAACATATAAGTACTGCTTTCTGTGGATTTTATATTTTTAGTAAGTGTAAATACTAAGCAAAGTAATAGTACATTTGCAATCTACCAACAAATGCTACTGTTGACCAATGTTTATTTAAACTTATTATTATTTTATTTTTTGAAAGACAATTTTTTTTAATGTAAGCAGAATCAGAAAACATTAAGTAAACAGAGGGTTATTTAGCATGGTTAAAAATTATCAATGAAATCCACTTACTTCTTTAAGAAAAGGAGAATCAACGGCAAGGTATTTGGACACAACATAAAGGCAGAACAGGTGACGGTCAATACCAGCACCAGTCATTGCAAGACGATATAAATGCTGATGTTTGGCAGCAGCAGTCCTCAAGAGCTTGAGCTTGTTTTCGTTCTGATGAAAGAAAAAGACAGGAAAAAAAGGTAGAATGCAGAAACCGCGTTACAGCAATGGCTCTCAAGGCTATGATGTATGAGACAATGCATGCATCTAACATCAAATACCAGGATTCTCTAATTTTTCAGTCTGTCACTTTAACATTTCAGGTATTTAAAAAAAAATAAAAATGATGACTGTTGAAGACCGTGCATATGGAAAACATTTATATTTTAAGTAAGACCTAGCCACAGAATCGAATAACGTGAAAACCACATGATTACAATTTGAGTTTACTACTCCCTGGCGAATTTATCTTCTAGAGATATTAGCTTTAGAAAGCTGTAGAAAAGCAAATCTCAACTTTTAGATAAAAAAAAGGAATTGCAAGAGCCATTTCAGAAGAAAGGTGAACAACACTAAGTGTACTGTAAAAGCAAAATGCCTGTTAGAACTCAATTCTAGATAGCCATTTCATTAGAGTTTATAATGTGGAATGGCAACTGAGTATATTGTACCCTGTCCCTTGCCACCTCCACTATCACAAATTTATTCTATTTGGGAAATAAGCAGCAGCCTATCTGCCCTCAGCACGAGAAGCTGATAAGCTATTTGTAGTCACACTAAGCATCCCTATCACTAGTATTCTGGAGTAAAGCTTTGGGGGAAGAGAACAGTCCTCCACCTTTTTCTGCCTCTCTCCTGGACTCCTCGTGCCCTAACTTCCCTAGGGGAGAACGAGAAGCATGTTTGATCCAGCAATACTATAGGGTACTCCCAGCCTAAGACTTTTCAGCAACAAAATTACAACCTTTGTTTTTTTTCCAGTTATCAAAGATCACCAGTTCAGTTATAAGATCAGAAATTATGAAACATTAGAAGAAAAAACAGCATGTATTTCAAAGAAGAACTAGAATGATTTACAGATCTGGTATCAAACATGTAGGTCTGTTCACCAAGCTAACTGCTCTCAGTTGTCTGCTCAAAACAGCCTCTGCATTATTTAGACATAGCCACACTTTAATAAAACCAGCACTCACTACATAGCTTCATAACTAGCAATTCAAAAAGCATCTGTTTCAGGATTTTTGGTTTTATTCTAAGACTTCATTCAGCCTGATCTTTGAATAAAGCCCCCTGTTCAAATTTAACACAGAAAAGCAACCTCCCTCCCCATAAAGTTCGAACAAGAGAGTTAAGGGCTCAGTTTCATAGAGAGGCCACAGTCATCTGAAAAACTATTAGCATAAATGTGAACATGTAAGAAGTCTTTGCAGTAAGTGGTTCACACCTATACTCCTCTCACTAAACCATAAAGAGCCCAGACAGTTTTCAAATAAATGAACAAAATGTTTTCTTTCTATTTTAAAGAAATAGGTGGATATTTGAGATTAATAGCTAGGATCATTATTATTAAACACAGCTGCCCAGTGACAAAGCTTGGTAGGGTGTTGTGAATATTACAGTGAAATGGTAGATGACTGTTCAGCACTTTCCTCATGACTGTGTCACTTGGTGTGCCAGATGATGCCAAATTCAGTTGCTACCAATGCTCACAAGGTGGCATAACAATCACTATTAAATATTTACTTTTAAAACGTATACAGCATATAGAGGATGCAGGGAGGGAAAAGAGTAAGAGTGCAAGACAGACCAAGCTCCACAGAACAGCCTTCTTCACAATGGCGTAGTACTGGGGCAGCACACTACGTTACTGGTCAGTTACTGATTATAGTCCCAGATTACAATTTTTTCCTCATAGAAATGTAGAAAAACCACACACTCATCTCCTCCAAAAAAATGGAAATCCCTTTCAGCTTAGGTCATTAAATTTGCAGATTTTGTTATTTCATCAACTTTATCAATGAAAATAATGACTAGCATGAATTCTAGACAGATCATCAAGATGACTGTGACGCTAGACAATATCTTTCATCTGATGATACATTCTTCCACTTTGACATCAAACCTTTTAATCAGTATCGTCCAATTTTTTCCAAACCAAGAGGCTTTCACTTAGAGCATGATTCCTTTACTCGCTGACTGGAATATCAAGTTTAAAACTCCACTGAAATTAACATATGAAATCAACTGTTTCTTCCCTAGAATATTTGCTTTCTTATCAGAAAGGAAAGCCTAACTGATACAATTTACTTTTTACAGATCTACAAAGATTCACAAATCATAGAAGTTCCGTGAGTCATTTTAGTTTTCCAAGTTGGAAAAATCAGTGCATCTGGTTAAGTTATTGTCATTCTTTTTAGCTGTAGTCTTAGAAGCCCTGCCCTATCATTGACAGAGGATATAGATAATTACGTTACATTGCAGTTCATTCCTCAAAACAAACTGATCTGTTTTTAAGTGTTTAAAAACAATTTGGAAATGACATGGTGATACAGTGACAATGCATTGCCTCATACAACATATTAGGGAATAAGGTAGTAAACTTACAGTTTCAGTTGGATCTTCCATGGCTCGAACAAAATTACAGGATTCGACAGTGCATGAACGAACAGTTTCAGTCCTGCCTTCTCTGAACAAGCGGGTCATAGAGGCCTCATACGTTAAACAAAATTTCCCCATGTCCTTGAAAGAGGAAAAACAACAACTTCAGAAGTTTACCTAGACTTTGCTCCTCTTTCTTAAGCAACAGTCTTAAGCAACAGGTAAGCATACGGGATATGAATCATTCCTCAAATTAAACTCAACAACGTACACTTAGTAGCCCACTATTAACCATCTTACCTAAAGACAAACTAAGATAAGTAACAGTAATACAGTGACCGTTAACAGAAAAGTCAAAGTACTACTCTACACATCCTACATTGTCTTCTTTGGCTTTTTTTTTTTTTTTTTTTTTTTTTTTTTAACAACTGCAGCAGATTCAAACACGATGAAAAACACACAGGGGCTTCCTAAACTAATACAGCTGTGGTGGGAAGTTTAGAAAACTATGATGTCCATAATTCTTTTCACAATAAACATTTTATAGCATGGAGAGGCATGGCAGCATGGAGATTTTCAAGTACAAGAGAATTGAAAAAGGTCCGCTAGCCCAAAAAACATGACTCCTGCATTTCCTGTAGCCACACATGATCTACAGATTAAAGCTTACTAAATGACATGAGTTTATAAATCAAACTTATTTGCCATGTAGCCACCCTAACCAATGGCAGCAAAGATTAAGTGGTGAGAGCAACCAGGAGACCTACATGTTAGAGTAAGGCAATATCTTAACAACAAAGAAAACAGATGCAATCTAATATGCAGGTGTTGTCTTAAAGCATGCAATAGAAAAGACAAAGTAGGAGGAAAACCAGGCAGTAATCTCACCATTAATCTTGTTAGGGAGTGCCTACAATTACTGAACTAAAGAAGCCTCCAAACTAAAAATAAATTTAATGTGGCGTAGACTATGAAGTTAGTAACAACTACCTGAATTTTCCTATCTACTGCTCTCAAGTCCAAAATACCTAGTTGATCTCTCTGCAGTCAGAGGAGAAAAATCTGCTTAAGTGTCAAAAAGCCAACCTTTGGACAACGAATTTCTAGTTAGTAATCTTGGAAGTTAGGAATCTTGTTCCTGCTTCCGCTAAATGCCTTTAATAATCTTGCAGACTCACACCCATGTGCACTACTCAACCATATATTTTTAAATTAGATGTGGTACCTTGCGTAGTTGTGATTAATGAGCTTCTGTAAGATCAAAACAATCTGTCCTTACCCGAGAGTGAGCAAGCTGCAAGGCAAGTTGCACAAAGGCATCAGGGCTGACTTTTGCATTCTTGATTAGCCCCTTTCCAAAGGCATCAAAGTTAAATGAATGGAAATCTACATCATCTGCCAGAGCTGTTGCAGTGCTCAGAGACCTCTCAATCACTTCTTGACACTACAGGGAGGTGGGGGGAGGCAGAAATTATACACAAAAGAATATAGTGTTATGCATAACCCATTTAAATATTACAATGTTGTATAAATTTTCACTTTGCTAAAAAACAGTTTTATATGTGCAATACATACATACACATACATTCAATGGCACCTGAAATAAGTGGTGATTGAAAAAGTACATTTTTTTTATTATTTGAGAAATAAGATACCTTGCTATTATGCATGCTGCCCATCAACATCAATGTCTACACATTCTTCCTCTTAGGGCAGAAGAGGAATAATCTTTGCCTGACAGTTAAGATTCAAGTAGCAAAAAAAGACACAGAGATTGAATGGAAATGGTTTTGTCTGATCTGCTACACATGCTTAGTCAAACATGTCACCAACCAGTACCACTTTAAAGTTAAAATTCAAATAGGGTTAGGACAGTTTGTCTTAAAGCTTTTTTTTTTTTTTTTGATAGATATGCAGACAATTTTAGACACAAGAAAAGACAGGCTCAGAGAAACCTCGTACTCAAGAATAACTATTGCAACAACAGCAATGAAACCTCAACAACTTAAATTTCACTGTAGTACAGTGTTTAAAATGGGTGGCCACTTATTTTTGACCAAGTGGCCATTTGTTACCAAGAATTCCACAGGTTCCCTAGCCAGAATTTTGAAAGTGGAACAAAATGAAGCAAAAAAAAAAAAAAACAAAAAAAAAAAACCATCAAACACCTATGCCTTTTGGCAAACCAATAACAGGACCTTCAAGAAGCTAAATCACCCTATCAGTAAGGCAGGCAACTATTGATGCGATGCAACTACTCCAGAAAAGAGCAAATACTTCTCCCACCCATTAGTTGTTCAGTACTCACTTCTTCTGGAATTTCCCACTGTAGTTTGGTAGGAATAGGAATATTTTGATTGGTATCTCCTCTGCAATGTCCATCTTCTGAATAGCCCAGTTCAAGATACTCTGTGTACATTACATTCTGCAAAGAACAGAACATCTTTTGAGTTTGAACACATTACATATGGCCATTAAAGTAGAATTTCACTGCTAAATCAGTATACTTCATTTTCAATACACAGTGAAACACAATATACAATCATTTTCAAATTCTGAAAACAGCTGCAAGGAAAGCCCTCTTCTAACTCTACTTTTAAGGTATTTTTACTTCTGTTATGAGTGGAATAAAACCAAGTATACACAAAAATGCCCACACAGGTACACTGGCCTTTTGCCATGTGTTACTGACAAAATTATCATATTTCAATTAAAACAAAAATAAACAAAACAAAAACAACACACACCCTAGAGCAAGACCTGGATTTCACAAGGTTTGTCCAGCCTACATTCTAGAGAGATTTTGCAAATTTGTTACCTGTTAATACTTGTTCATCAAGAAACAATTTATTTCACAGCACATCCCTCTGCAAGAATTTCTTCCTTTTTAAAATTTACATCCTACTTAGTATTGCAGTATACTTTCATCTGTACTTCAGAGTTTCTGAGTGAAGTGTAATGTTTATGACTATTAATAGGGCAAAGAATAGAGAAAAAAAAAAAAAAAAAAGCTGCTCTGTCCTACCAGGTTCCAAGCAGTGTTCTTAATGTAAAGGTCAAAGATCTGCTCAACATGGAAGGGAAAACTTGAGAAAAATCTATTAACACATTCTGCATACATATTTCTAATCGCTCATTTAATTTACCCGTTTCATTTAGCAGATAGAACATGCCACCCATGGAAAAAAAAAAATCAAATTCTCTGTATTTTTTTCTAAAAATAGACTGTCTATAAACAGCTAATTTCCTAGGAAGTATAATTTATTTTAGGGGTTTTAAATTCTTAGCAGGAAATGAGGCAACTAATAATAATTCTCAAGTACAGAGATACGAACTGAAGTGTAACAAATCATCCTCCAAAAGAAAAAAAAAAATGTTCATTAAATTACAACTATCTAGCAAGCTCCTTTAAATTTCACAGTTGAAGGCAGACAGAAGCAGTCCCATAATCACTTTTAAGCAGCACAAGCATATGGGACTTAAAGGGACCTCCTGATCTTCAGGATTGTTTTATGGATACCATCATCATCTTTTGCATTAACTGTGTGTATAAAACACTTACCTCCCAAAGATGCCCAACAATAGGAGCATCTGCCCAAGAGTGTTCTGCATTCAGGCCAATTTTGCCATTCTTGAACACAATAAGAGTGAATGTTTTATCAAACCACCTAAAAAAAAAAGAAAGAATTTTCTAAGGTTCTGTAGCTTTTTTAAAAAATTTAGACTGTAAGAGAAATTTATTCTCTCTCTACAAGCATGCAAATTTTTGTTTTAAATCAACAGGCCTAAATCCATCAGTTTGAAAGACATCAATTCATAAGTATTAGATGATTGAATCAGTACTGCTATATGAAAAAGAAGGGATTTTTCACAAAGTGAATACCGTACCTGTCATAACATCTGCCATGTAATATGGACTTTGCATACATATCCAGTGATGCCACCGGATCATCTTTCCTGTACCCTCTCTCGAGGTCATCCAGTGATACAAAAAATGCTGCTTTTTCTATAGCATCTAGGGACTGTTTGTTCTTTCCATGGCTAAAATAAGCCTGCCGAGCCTTAGCCCACGGTACTCTGTTGAAAGAATTTGGTTTATAGCTAGCTTACATAATTTATTCAATATTTTAGCAATATTAAGATCACTACAAGACACATTGCATATTTTTAAGCACATTTAAAGCATCCACTTTGATTGCATTGAAACTATATTATCATGGAAAAGTTCTAGGAATACATGTACAATGGAATCCCAGGAACTAACCACATATCACACTGATTTTAAGCTTATTTTTCCAAAATTAAGCAGCTTGCCTACATGCAAGACAAATAACCTGTATTATCTGGTCCAGAAGCAACCGGATACATTGAACTGTAAGCCTGTCAACAATTTAACTGAATTCAATTATCTTGCATCTAGAACCAACTGGTTAAGTACTGCTTTATTTTGCAGAATCAAATCATGAATATATGACAGGATTTACTGAGTTCACATTCTCAACCTTAAAAATTAAGATTTTTTTTAAGATACAAATTGAACCTATCCAAAGCCAACATTTAACTACTATGCAGCTCCAAATACTAGAATTAATACAAAAAAGAGAGTCCTACCTATCTCCTGCAGTAAGAGCCGCTAGCTTCAGCTCCCCAGGCTGCGGCTCTGAATCATCATCAAGAATTCTTTGCATCTGCTGTTCAATTTCCCGGGGTTTCAACAGTCTACCATCATGGTACAGCCACACTTTGAAGTAACGCCCCTTATGATACACTACAATGTGTTTGCTGTCTTTCACATGCTGGATAGTATCTGCAATTACAATCAGTTACAGCAAAACGTTAATACACTCAACATTTGGCATTAAATAACAGCAAACGCTTACTGCATATACCACCAGTTAGCACAGCTTGTTTTTAACAAGTAGCAAGAAAAGTAGGATGGTCGTGACAGAAGCGGTAGGACCTGCCTAAGCATCACTGTCAAGTAGATTCCCAAAACCATGTATATAGTGAGCTGAAAACTGAGCAGAAACCACACGTTTGTTTTTTTCTGCTTCTGCACTAGATACAATAGCGCCCAGAAAGGTGGGGAAAAAAAAAAAAAAAAAAAAAAAAACAGGAGAGCAATCATCTAGTGAGTTCGCTTTCCCCTTCCTCCCAGAGTCAGGAAAGCATCTGTGCTCATGTCATGTACATGACTCGTCCATACAAAATGACAACTCTTGAGTGCAAATGCAAAAAAGAAGAGATCAATTGATGGTGTAGGTGACTAATGACTTCACAATAATTGTACAGCACCAACAATTATCTTTTAGACCCATTATCTATAGGCAAAAATATAGATTTAAGTATCTGCAGTAGAGATTTGTTTAAACCATTAAAAAACACCCGTTCCATTTTTTCCTGCTGGTACAGGAATTAATTTGTGTACATCTGAAGATGCATACAACATATTACACGGGTTTCCTAAGGTTAACAGAAACGACAAAGGTTTTCCTCTGCTTAAAATAAATAGCTTACTTTACCATGTACTTAATCATAAGACATAAAAATTAAGCAATTATCAGAGTACACTGTCTATTAAGATTTTTAATGATTTCGTGTTATTGCTGATAAATTAGATGCATGCTGTTCTTGTAGCAGCCTTAATATACTTGAAATATCATTGAAAGGAGACAGCAAAAAAGCAACCTACTGTTCGGAATTTGAGAAAAATGTGTTTTCAGTACGTAATTGAAAAAATGAAGTCACTTGTACATGAGAAGAACAAAATAAGTTATTTTTCTTTCAAAAAACATGAAAACAACAAGAACCAGAATGGGAATTCAAAAGCATTTAAAAATTATATTTACAAAGCTGACCGCTTTTATTTGACATACTTTAGACCTGAAGCAGGAAGAATAGGGAGAAGTATAAATAGGTACAGGATGTGTGTTAACAGGTGCTAAAATATGCTAATTTTATAATTTTTTGGCAAGTGTTGGCACAGACTGACAGATTCAAAGGTATATGCAAACAGTTCACACCACTTGGGTGGCAGTTGGGGAGAAATGCAGAGGCAAGTGCTTTTGGGACCTGAAGTATTCCAACTAGTAGTTCATACACTATAGCTGTCTAAGAGTCAGGTTTTTAAAAACATGCTGGTACCCAACGCTATAAAAACCACAGTTAATGGCATAGTTCATGATCACGGGTCTCCATGATTGGGTGATACTTAGTTGTCGGTTTTACAGATAAGAAAGCTGAGGTATAGTTGGGTATTCAAGAGCAAGCTGGAAGAGGGGAATACATATCTCAATACACCTACAATAAAAATGTATATACGAACTGTTACTGAAAAATACAATTTCTTCTTCTCCTGGGCTAACATGATTGCTTGCATCCCATAATCATATCCTAAGTATCCCACAATAAGCAGAAACTAGAGCAACAGACCCAGGGGAAAGACATCCTGTTGTAGGTCAACAGCTGCCTCCTTTATTCAGCATTAAAAGGTAAAGATTGAAGTTATGCATAACTTAGAATAATCAATCTGGGTGTTGCTGCAGGGCAGGAACTAGCAAAAAGTGAATACACACTTTCTTAGGGTAGCTGATATTTTAATACATTCAAAAGGTTGTAGTTCACAGTGTGGTTGAAACCTTGACAGGACAAAGACTGCACCCATCTCTAAGCCACATAAGCAACTTCTGTTGAAGATATGCTCACACCGAGAACACCACACTGGTGTTGTGAATCAGAAACCAAATGGAGAAAAAAAGGAGTCAGGCAAATAAAAGACAACACTTTAAAATGACTGAGGTAAGAGAATACAGCTTTCACAAAGGCAACATGGATACCAGAAGAGGCTGAAGGAGCAAAATGAAGAAAAGGTTACATTTAAAACAGAGGGCAGACAATTTCCTGAAGTCAGCTTTTAAATTTTTTAAAAAATAGACTAAAAAAAGGGAGGAAATAAAGTCACTCTAAAAGGAAAAAATATTTATGCACTCTGTAGTGACTCATTAAATTCTGGGAAACAGCTATAACTGACCTTTATATCTTTCAGATCCTCATCTGGGAAAATAAGATTTCTAGCAGAAAACACCCCCCAAACCTGTCTGGATTCCATGAAGGTGTTCCTTCTCCTTGGCTGGTCCTGCTTACCTGTTTCTTCTCCTGGGATTCGGGAAGTATTAAACATCCGCTCCCACTGAGCTGAGCAGAGTGGAACAGTAGATCCCATGAGAAGAATCTAGGCCACAAACAGACCAAAATTCTAATTATATGTAGTCAGCAAATAAAGGAAAGTAAAAAAGTCTGGTTAAAGAAAAGTTATAGAACAGAAGATTTAAAATGCAAACTCAAATTTGTGTTCCTTGTCTTCCCTTGAACTACATGTGGAAGAGTCCACAGATATTCCAGTAGCTGTACTTTCTTTCTCCCTATTCAAAACTCCCCCTTCTGAAGGGTGGATGGAAGCAAGGTATCAGCTGAAACCCAAGCAGCTCCTAGGGGCCAGTCTGAATGCAAAACAAACATGTAGTAGGTATCATCTCTTAGTTTCTCCTAAATTGCTTCAAAAGGCAGGGTAATGTGTACAAACAAAACAGGAGATTTTTTTTTACCTAGAACACCTGCTTTGAAGAGTACAACCACTAAGAAAAACATTTATTTATGTTTCTTTAGGTATATGACTGTAGATGCATACTGCCCCCATTTCACTGCCATAGGAGGAATATGTAGGCTGGGTTTTTTTTTTTTTAAATAAAATACAAAACAAACAAACCTAAACACTTGATTTTTGCCTGCTTGAAGGATAATGAAATTTTCAGGAAGTCCAGTGTCCTGAGGTAGTACAAGATAAATACTTTGAGTAAATCATGAAGTCTCTTGTATTTAATTTCAGAGTTGTTGAGTTTTTAGGGTTTGTTTTTGTTTTTAATTTATCTTTAATTTCAAGTAGCCTAGCTTCAGGATTACATCAGGTTAAGAAAAGATTAAATCCCAGCTACAATCATATTTTAATTTCCTCTCTGATAAACCAAGTCAATGATTTTTTTTTTCCATCATTTGGGAGACTTAAGCTAGCCAACTACACAAGAAAGTCTGAGACACAAATATGTCCTGCTTGCTTTCTAGTATCATCTAAAGTTTCACGTACGACACAACCAATTATTTCACATGATTCATCTGCTGTTAGCCCAAAGACTATTTTAAATCCTCCCTTAAGAAAGGTTTTAGCAAGAAATATGTAAGTGTTTTCTGATTATAGCTTTTGAGCTGCTGAAATCCTAGTTTCTCATTACATGTGTAGCACATGCCAAAAACTTCCGCTGTATGGAATACTTAAATGTGAACGACATAAGCTCCTATTTGTCAACAGCAATTTAGCTGACAGTCCAGACGCTTGAATCCACCCATTCTCGTACATCTTTTGTGCAGTTCTGGCATAAGACATTCTCTTCTCCTCCTCAAATTTAAAAAAGGGATCTACTTCTTACAGACTGTGCTGGAAAAGATCAGCAACAAATTATACATACTGGCTTGATTTCTTGTCTGTCCAGTTTCTTCCGGTAAAGCAGTATGGCATGGATAGCATTACCAGCTCTAGCTGCCTGCAGGGTAGTTGGAACTAAATAAAGGAAGTCCTGTAAAGCACACAGATATAAGAAGTTAATATGAGTGTCATATTAATCAATACAAGTTAATTGAGTACCATATTGAGAAAAGCACTCATGTGCTTCTGGTCTACTTTTTTCCTTGAAGATTATTTTGATTTCGTAACAGAAAAGGTTTTAATATACACAAAGAACACTATTGTGGTGACTTGGGTGGCTTCAAACTTGACTGTAGTATCTTGTATTTCTGTTTGTAATATGGGGGCCTTTTACATATTTACTTCCAGAAGAGATACTTGTCAGTATCAGCACAAAACCCTATCGAACCACATTATTTACAAAGTTTTGCACGGAGCCTTTGCAAGGTCACACAGTGCTTATTGAAGTAAGCAAACAGCCATAAAAAGTCATAGCTATATGAGTCTGCCTACTTGGCAGGCATGCTAAGCCTCCATTGTAAGTTACCTCTATACTTTAGGACATAGGCTGCCTCATACTAGAAGAGAAACAAAGATCACATGCTTAGTGACAATAGAGTTCTAGAAGGAAGGTATCACTTTAACTCTTTGACATGAGTTGTTTATGGTATTTACTTACCATTGCAAAATAGTTACTATTAACCATAATTGGTCCACGTCCTCTAAGGTAGATATATTCTTCCCACCAATCACTAACCTGCAGTACAAAGGAAAAATAAAGTCTCTTTGTTATCTCTAGGTTAATGACACCACAACCCTTCACAATATAATCCTTAAAATTGGAACCATGCCCTCCATGCATACTATTTGCATTAATAAGGGCAATCTGCCAAAAGAGTCAGACAATAAAATCAAAATTTCAGCTGCAACTCTGACAATACGCTTGCAAGCAAGTTGTCTTGAGCTAACATTTAAAACGCACCAGATCTGAATGTTATCCAACCTAAACAAGGGTAACTGCATACAACTAAGGGTTTAGAAGGGAATTAGTTACACATATTTTACTGGGGTGTTAGGACACAGGTTGCCTTTCTGGAAAGGAACGAACATTATTCTGATTCTTTTCTCTTCTGTTTGCTCTAAACAGAGATGTTTACTTAAATCCTGAAAACTACGTGGGCAGCCAGGCCCGGGGCTAAATTTTAAATGAGCCAAACAGACAGAATTCAAAAGCTACCAGGTAAGTAGCCTGCTCCAGAACAATGAACACAAGACTAGGAGGCCTGCATTCAAATTCTACTCACTGTATCGCTTGCTTACCATGTTATCCACATCAAATTACTGCTTTCCAAATTAAGTGGTTTCAAATGCAGTCCATAAAATACTGTCTTTTTTGCCCCCCACCCCCTTTTTTTTCCCCTCTTAAATTTCAGAAAGAATGAGAATTAAGGCAAAAATGTGACAGAGCACAAGTTAAATTGGCAGTACGTCTTATTTATCTACTTACATAGTTTGTGGCCCACCAAGACTTTAGCTTCAAATACCACTGAAGTCTTGGTCCCAAGTTATACGCAAAGTCTTTGGCAAGACCCTCCATTCTTCTGAACTCTTCGTCATTCATAAGGGGCCGAACTGATTCCAGATACTAGAAGAGAAGAATCAGTGTTCGAGTAGTCACTGATCTGTGGCTTGTTGTCATTCCTTCATGAAGCATTTGAACAGCAGACAAAGAATACTCAGACTGGTCTAATTCATAGGGTTGCAAGTACTATAAATGGTAAATTAAGGGTATAACCTCAAGCTCTGAGCGCACACTTTCAAGCTATAGAAACTTTAAACTATAAGTTTGCACTAAACTTATAGTACAAACTATAGAATACTTTCCAGGCATTTGGCAGTAAGTCACACATGAAAAGGTGACTTTTTTTTTAAGATATATTTTCCCCATGATAGGGGAAAAGATATTTTGCATACAGAATTCAATATTTGAGTTTTTAGGTTATCTCTTTCCACCCATTCCATGCAATAGTAAGTTGTCAGCTTCTGGAATTGCTTTTGTGGCTTAAATCTCCTTCTTCCAGATGGGGAAAAGGGACCTTTAAGTCTCTAGAAAGCAAATAATCTGTTTTTGTGACATTCTTACTTGCACACCTTGCTATAACCCTTTGTGTCATAAGGCACATACTGTATGTTCAAGCTGTGAAAGATAAAAACAGACCTGTGGAAGGCTAATAAATACCCCTGGAAGCCATGCTTCATTACACAGTGCAACATTGACCAACACTGCAATTGTCCAATAAACTAGCCTGCCATCTTTAGCTTAAAATCATCATGCAATTCAATGGTCTCTTGTAGTCTTTTTTTAAAATTTCTATGCAGCAGTTTTAATCTTGCAGACCATATTTCCCTGCTTGGGCAGGGGAGTTGGACTAGATGATCTCTAGAGGCCCCTTCCAACCTCTACCATTCTGTGATATTAATACCACCATACGATGATTATACATGGCATAGAAAAAAAAAATACAACCAGGACATCTAAACATAGCTTCCAGGTTGCAAAATAAATAAATAAATAAAAATCTTGCAACATACCCTATTGACCGTGTCTTTCACGGATGGAACTGGCAGCCGTGGCAAAGATGTCTGGAAGCTGTATAACATGGGCTTACGTCCTGAGAAGAATTTTACAAGTGCCTGAAAGCAGACAAAAGCAAAATACTTGTCTCTAATTATTATGTTCAACAAAAGAGCATAGCACAGTAAGAGAAGTGATACAAATCATGGTTCTTTTCACCAGTAAATGACGCTGCACTAAACTTAGAGGATCAATATTCGTATTGCTGCTTCACAAAGAAGCAAGACACTGAAACCAACTTCCTAAAGGTTAAACAATTTGTGGAACTCGAAGCAATTCAGTGGAATAGAGAAGGACATTGAGACCTCCCGACTTCCTAGACAACACTCCTGTCTCTAAGTATATTAAGATATCCTTGCATACCTATGCTATGCTTCAAAAGAGGAATTATCAAGCCTCTCACTCAGCTAAGAATCCTAGATATAGTCACCATAAAATATAACTATGCTTGGGAATCACGGTTCAGTATTTTCCAAAATTATAGTTTAGCAGCAATAATAGTATTGCTGTTACAGGGTATCTCTTCAAGATTGAGTCTGTCTCAGATATGGCCTACTACAGGACTGGAACATACCAAACTGTCAAAGTACTGTATTATACTCAGTATACTTTTCTACTCTTTCTATTACAAAGAGAACAGCCAGAGCAAAACAGCTCCTATCTCAGCTTCAAGTTTTACAGCATCCATTTTCCACAGGAGACAGAGGTAGCATTTCCACCCAGGAGCGTTCCTCAGCTGTAACATGCTCTAGGCTGAATGTCTTAGAGCATGCAGCTTTTGGGCTACGCATGAGAGGATCCTGACGTATCACCCCACTTCTGCATCAAACTACACACCAACATCCACTGGAACACTCTTTGTTAAGTCCGATATTTAAACTGAGGACAAAAGAAAATAAATCACAAAAGTTCATTACTAAATTTCTAGAGCTTGGCCCAGAAACCATGGTTTTCAGCAACTGGCATAACTAATTTATCAGAAGAGAGCTTTTTCTCCTCTCATTTCCTTGCTCAGAACAGCTGCAGGTTCTGAGCAGGTTGTTTCTGTAGCTGTCAAGAACCACAGGGAACAAAGACCCCTGGTAAAAAGATTTGCATCAGAGATGTTAGATGCACATGCACATGCTATGGTGATCAGCTCAATTAAACCCAGCTGTGCTTCATGACGAGACATGCTTAAAGCTACATCAGAAAGACAGCGCAAACTGTTGTAAGAAAAGCTGTTTTCCACCACTGTTCATGCAGAAAGTGAACAGTTTTACTCCAAACATAAGTCATGCAAGTCTGAAATTTTATGAGACAGAAAGAGGGTCCCTGATTAACTGACATTAAATATCTTGAAATGTTTGCTCTCAACAAACTTCCGCTAGAGAATTTTTAACAGTTTGAGACCAATAAAGTGATTTGATATACACACACATAAACATACACACTTAACTTACCTGATTTCCTATCCAGACACAGCAAATGATCTTATTCTAGTGGTCTCTGTGTCTGTTTGCAGATATTTATTTTAACTGCATTCACTAATCGGATTTCCACTGCCACCCCCCAGACTCCTACATAAAATTTAGCTTATTAGGAAGATTAAACATTTTCTTTAGAAGTGGCACCAGATTTCCAACTAGACTAGGAAAAAAAACCTTGCCCTGTGACTAAGCTCGAAGTCTGCTTTTTCCAGCTGCTTGACTGTTTGAACAGAGGACAGTGAATTCACAGTAATGGATCTTCACACTTTTAATCAGAGAAACAGCTAAGAAAAATAAATAAGAATAAAAACAAACAAAAAATCCTTCCAAAAAATTACAGGATATGAATAGATTAACAGACCTCTGCATTTTAAACCAATAAAAATAAAAGCTTCTTAAGAATTCAGAAATGTAATAAATGGCAGAGCATGGTAAGTAGCATCATAGTTCACACTGTTTAAGGCTGGTGTTATGGAGAAAATTATCAACTTTAAAATATCCATTTGGTAGGACATGCTGAAAATCCAGACAGTGAGAACATCAAGCAACTGACAGGAAGCCTTACCATTCAGAGCCTGTACTGTACAGATTCAAGTCATGAGGCTCCTGATATCACCCCCAGGAGAAACTATCAATTAGAAATTTCATTTGTAACAATGAACACTAAACTCAGTTTGGTGCATCATTTTGTATGCTCATTATAGAACACTTCCCATAATAAACCACCACATTTTGTTAGCCTAACATATTGATTCAGATTTTGAGACTATGGAGATGAATTTTATCTTTGTAGGACACTAAGTCACTTCTACAGCACTGAAGAAAGAATTAAAACTACTGAGTGAGTCTGAATAACAAAAAGTTCTCTCTCTCCTTAGGTGTACCAGGATGTATACTCCCTCACTTGACTCTCACCACACCCTTTTAGGAAAATGACAGTCTCTTTAAAAAGCAGCACCCCATCTTTATCACATACAAAGAACAAGAGGAGGAAAAAAAAAACAAAACAGTTCCCTTCAAGGCTTTGAATAGAGAACCGATAGAAATTGAGGTACAAAAAGTCGATATATCCTTACCATCCATAATTTGGTGCCTGCTGAAAGTTTGCCATGTTCAGCGAATATCCAGCCGTGATAAGAAAGCAGCATTTTTAGCGAATAGCGCATTGTGACAATAAGGGCCACCCAAAGCCCTGTGCCAAAAAGTATTCCACTCACAATATTCTGTGTTTGATTTGACATATAGCCTCTATTTAAAACAAAAGCCAGCAGGTATTAGTTAACGTTAGTTTAACATGAATTTAAGAATGCCATCCTAAGCCCCACGATACAGCAGGTAGACATTACACAAGCTTCGTATTAGCTTGCCCCCTTTTAATACATTCTTCTAAGCATCCTCTCATCTAGCAAGAGCAAAGACAACAGAAGTTGCCAACTGTGCTACTCAAATGCTCTTTAAAAAAATAAAATAAAAATGCATTAATACTGGTATAACAAGCTGCACATTTTATATCTCTTCAATCTTCTGCTTATTAAGCTTACTCTGTCACAAACATGCTGTTCTAATATTGACTGCACTTCAGTGGGCTTTACAGGAAGAGTTATTATAAATCAAACTAATGCAGTTTAGAGGAATAATGCAAGATGCCAATCTACTTACGTTGTATCAAGGGTTCGGTTGATTTTAGCTATTATTCCTAAAGAAGGATCAATTTTGGCATACATTGTAGACATCACACCCACAACTACAATAAGCCAGCTAGATGGGCTAGCAGGATAAACGCCTGTGATAATTCCATTCTGGAAAGAAAAGCCTTCACATAATTTTTTCATACCAAAGTGGTTGACTTCATATTACCATGGAAAGAAACAAAAAAGATCAACATATTCAAGTCATTCAGTTTTAAGCAAGAAGTTAGGATTTTCCAACATTTTCTTCCCTTTGCTTAACTCATAAGGTAGGGAATGGATATAGTGAAGTTTAACTACTGGAGGAATAAAAAAGAGCTATGCTGCATAAAATCATCACAACGAATGACAGGACCTTGAAGTTTCTTTGCAGATAATACTGATTCTGCCCACAAGTCCTTGCTAAAAAACATTGAAATTCATAAACTTCTTTAGAACAAGTAGTTCTAATGTAGTTCCCACTTGCACCAAGACAGATTTGCTAAATGGATACTCTACACAGCAAAAATATTCTGCTAACCAAGATATTGAAAATTAGAACCAGGTCTTCCTATGCCATTTAAACAGTTCCTCTCGTAGTTTTAAGACAATTCTTTTTAAGACTACATTTAAGTAGTAAATATTTGAAAAAAATGATGAAGTAACCTTTGTTACTATTAATAAAACAGATGAGGCCGTAAGTTTTTAATTTTTATTTATAGTATCATTTAAGTTAAAACCATAATTAACTGACATCTGTATCATACTGGTTCCACAGAATGGACCAAAAGGACATATCTTTTCAGCCTTCACATTGTAATTTTAGTACAGCATCATTCAGTTTTACCTTTCTCAGCTTCCCTTTTCTTAAGGCCATGCAAGTCTTTCACAATAAGAATGCTTACTTGCCATATAGAATTTTTACTTAAACAAAACTCTAGTAAGCTCATAAAACATTAAATAAACATCAAGTATGGTAGGCTTGACTGCATCAGTCTTAAATACCTTGAATCTGATGAACTTTTTCTTCCATGAATGGACACCAGACAGGTATATTTGTTTGAGTGCCTCATGGCTCATGCGCAGGTCGATCCCATCTGGAGTTACTGTAAATTGAAATGCTACCGCTTGATGGGCTTCTGCCATTTTTAGAGAGAGTTCTGCCAAGAAAATAAATTAAATAAATTTAAATGTCTTCCATTTTCTTCATAGGAATTATAAGATCACCATTTTGCAGTAAAGTATCATCAATGCACTCGGTCATTATGGGAAATGTCTCAAAAATCTCAAACATGTATGACACTATCTCTTCCTCACAGGCTACGCTCACACTTCAGTCTTGCCTCCAGCAGATTAAGTTACCTCTTCTAATCTGAATTGATGAAAACAGAACTAAAACTTTCTGACATAACTTAAGCATTTTGGCATGATTGCAGCCAGTTAAACGTTGGGCATACATAAAGCTTGTAAGAGCTCAAATGAGAACAAAGGACTAAAGCTGTATTTGGAATAAGGGTGTATGGGTGGATAACCTCTCATTCTACAGCAATAAAGGAGATAGAGAAAATGCTTTGTTTTAGTCACTCTTACTGGCAATTTAAAGCCAAACCAAAGCTGAGCAGAAATGAGGAAATGAAATCACAAATCTCAGAAAAATGACCTTTACATAAACAAATCTGAAGTTGAATGAAGAGGAAATTCAATACAGCTTCTGCTCAATTTAACTATGCAAACAAGGAGAAAAAAGGCACAACAATTGTGCTAACACAGAAAGGAGAGACCATCATAATAGGCAGGCAGAGCAAGCAGGCTCAAACAGAGAGCACTAGTAATTAAAACAAATGTGGTCTAGGTTGCCTATATATGCCTCAAATCGGTTTGACAATACATTCAACTGAAAATGAACTTTCTCCACTCATCTTTGTGGCATAATTTCCTTCTGTAATCAGTACTTCTATATAAATATCCTAAAAATTATTTCTGTTCAGTATTAATTCATAGAAAAGTTGTTCAAGTACCTATATTCAGAACACAGAAAACCCGTGTGGAGACAAGCTGTAACTATAATCTTGGAAAGGTTCAATCCACACTCCAGGAGACCACTGTGGCTCCGAAGTCTTTACAAATCTGTAGGTTAGACGTCTTAAATTCTGGTATTTTATTATTTTAAACAGCTAGTGAGGGCATGCAGCCAAGTGCAGTTACCAGCTGGGCACTTCAAAAACAATCTACTATGACTGCTCCCATGCTGTAAATACCCTACTGCGCCAAAATCCTCTGGGACCAAGAAGCGTGGGAGAGTTGCACAAGTAGACAGTTAGGAAATGTAAGGATTGGGAATCTTGCCATGATAGCAGGTCTAGAAAATAAATAGGGAACATAGGAAAAGAGAACATTAGGCAGGAATGACTTGGTTAAGGGATGTTGCGCAGTATCCAACAATGGAGTTTAGCAACAGAAAGTGATGACTGCCTGTAATACTGAAAGTGCCTATCCCTAGATCAGCTGCCAAAGGCCAACCTCAGCAACACACCTGCTGCTTACAGTGGCTGGTGGTAATTCACCAACCCCCAGAATCCACGAGCCACCGCTTAAGTTTTCAAAACAGAGTCCTGATCCTCTTGGTTTCAGAAAAGTAGCTAAAGCTCACTGCAACCTACAGGCAATCTGCAATTAGATCTGTGCATATACACGGTCAAATCAGATCACCAGAGGAACCAAATGAGCACTGAATGCAAACCACAAGAGCTTGAAGATAGCCCTGCGTGCCCTATTGACAACTGTGGCTTGTAGGATTTAGTGACTTAGTCATTAATGACAGCTTATTCATAGGAGTCCTGCTGTAGACAAGTATCAGGAAGTCAAAGTCTGCTGTCTACCCATTCATTTCAATTGGGAATCACCAGCTCCAGCCTCAGCCTAAGACAGCAATTGAACAGAGCCAGGCAGCAACATCACATGGCAGAATCTGGATAGAGCAGGGTTAGCAAAAGGACACAGCACTTAAATCATGAATTCATTATATGCTCAGCGGCACTATTAAGACAAAGGATTGGGATGCAAGAACAGAGTGCACCCTCAGCAAGTTTGCACGTGATACCAGACTGGGAGGAGTGGCCGACACTCCCAAGGGCTGAGCTGCCAGAGAGACCTAGACAGGATGGAGAGCTGGGCAGATAGGAGCTTCATGAGGTTCAACCAGAAAAAGTGCAGGGCCCTGCACCTGGGGAGGAATAACCCCCGGCACCAGGACAGATTAGGGGTTGACCTGCTGGAAAGCAGCTCCCCAGAGAGGGATTTGGGAGTCCTAGTTGACATCAAGTTAACCATGAGGCAGCAATGCGCCCTTGCGGCCAAGAATGCCAATGGGATCCTGGCTGCATCACGAAGAGCATTGCCAGCAGGTCAAGGGAGGTGATCCTCCTCCTCTACTCAGCTCTGGTGAGGCCACACCTGGAGTACTGGGTGCAGTTCTGGGTTGCCCAGTACAAGAAGGACATTTGGCTTCTACAGAGGGTCCAGCATAGAGCCACAAAGATGATTAAGGGACTGGAGCATCTATCTTATGAGGAAAGACTAAGTGAGCTGGGCCTGTTTAGTCTGGAGAAGAGAAGGCTGAGAGGAGATTTGATCAACATGTTCAAGTACCTGAGGGGTGATTGTAGGGAGGATGGGGCCAGGCTCTTCTCCATGGTGGCCGGTGACAGGACAAGGGGCAACTGATGTGAGTTAAAACACAGGAAGTTCCACCTCCATATGAGGAAGAACTTCTTTACTGGGAGAGTGACAGAGCGCTGGAACAGGCTGCCCAGAATGGAGTCTCCTTCTTTGGAGATCTTCAAAACCCACCTGGACGCCACCCTATGCCACATGCTCTAGGTGCCCCTGCTTACACAGGGGGCTTGGACTAGATGATCTCTAGAGGTCCCTTCCAATCTTAATCATTCTGTGATCTCTGTGTGGAAAGTCAAGCCCTCACATTTGTCTCAAGAATGACCAACTGGTTCTCCAGCTCACTCATGGAATTTTACACACTGAGATGCTGTAAGTACTGCATCAGCTAGTTTCTATTATGCTTCAACTCCCCTCAGACTTTGCAGCCTGGAGATTTGTAACCATCAGCTTCTCTGCTTCTGAAGAGAAAGAATTTTATGAACTTCTTGCCTCTTTTGCAGAAAGATTTCTATTAACTAAGATAGTTTAAAAAAAAAATAAAAGCACACCGATATTCTCAAACTGATGTTTTAATGAATTCAAGTTTAACCTGATCATAAAATGAAATAAGCTTCCACAAGGAATTTATTCCTCATTCCTCTAAGTGCAAAATAAAGAGCCTTCACGCTTTTAGAATTAATCCTTAATCAAATCAACCTTGAAAACAGAGACAAGTCTAGTTCTAGTAGTACATTACTTCACTCAAAGCTACAGGAAAGAAAAATAAAAAGCAAGAACACAACCAAATACATATGATTTGTTCCTTTTTCTTTCTAAAGCAGTCTGAGCTGAGACTACTATTTATCTGAATTACAATGGCAGAGCAGCAAGAGACTTCCTGGAGTCTTTTTTTGGCCGCTTCTTTTGCTCTTAAAGGCCAATTTAATCATAAGCTGCTGTGCACTTCCCTCCGCCGCATTCCTG